GCTGTCGGCCGTTCCAAAAGCGGCGTTATCTTCACTTGACATGCTCAAGAAGCTGGAGATACAAGAAAATCGAATTTCGGATATTAAGGAAGGCGATTTCAAAGGTATGCACAAAATTCAGCACAAAGAGTAACTTAAGCCTTTAAAGCCCACTGGTAAATATATGCACCACATGCTTTAAAATTTAGTAACCTTGCATTTTCCTCACAGAATGTATTAATGGATGTCGTATGACTCTCAAAATAAACATCGATTATTTCCTAAACCAGCATTAACCAATTGTAGAAGTGTTGTTTTTTTGTGTTTTTTGCTATAGAAACTGAAATTTTAAATATAATTTAGACGAGTTTCTGATTTCAGAGGATTAATTCAGAGTCCTGTTGTGTCCTTGTGCTTTTAAACTACAAGTAAATTCATTTTGAAAATCGAATTAGAAATAAATAAATAAATCAGCGTTTACAATAAGCCTCAAACTAATACGTTTTTGAGTACAAAATATCTTACACTGAACTCTCAAAAGAGTCTGGTATTCGACTTCATGTATAAATCGTTGCGATAAGACCTTAACATCACTTTTTCCTTTAATTCAGTCATTTGAATGGAGAGACAGACATTATCGATTAATAAACATAGGACTTAATGACATTTCTGCATAATTTACACTGGGATATATTACCACTACATAAAAACTCAGCCTTAAACTCAAAGGTTCCCTTGTAGCCATGTTAGCAATTTTTAAACACAAAAGAATACTTAATACCGTCTTTGAAGTTTTGCCTATAATCCACAAAAAAACATGATTCATATTCATGGCCGGAACTCCTCACTATTGTCGCTATAAAATGAAAGACTAACATAAACTTTTAGTACGTAGAATGTTGTTACATTCTGAAAAGAAGGGGATAAACAAAATATATATCTAGATTCTATTAACCCACAAGATTTCAGGATTCTAATTTAAGTAACCCTAGAATAACTCCCACTGATAAATTCGTGCGTCAACTATGTGTAACTTCGTCGAATGTTGAGTGTTAACAATGCAGTTAGAAACTTCAGGGTGCGTTGGTACTATTAATGTCACAGAGTACAAATTGTATCGAGGTAGGATATCTTCCACTGACATAACGTTACTGTCAGGTTCAATTTAAATCTATCCATTACTTCAGAATTCTTTTGCCTTCCATCCGCTATACAAAAACACAGAGCTATCATCTTACCTATTTGTAAAATACGGTCGCTCGTATCTGAAGAATATCTGTAAACAGGGTTTTGAAGAGAATATTTCGATCTGAGATGAAGCAGCAGACTTCTGGGTTGTCACGGCGGTGAGCACGAAGATGGTTGTCTTCTGGATCCATCTGATGATAGTAGCAGCAAGGACCTCTGAAACGTCGGTAAACTTCTACCAGACTACAAGGCGCTACAACCCAGAACACAGCCATCTTCATAGTTTTCACTTCACCTAACATATTATTACAATGATAAAATCAATTGAATAAAAATTTTCTTGGATATTATCCATCGTCTAGTAAATATAAAACGTAAAACGACGTTTCGGAGATGGGACTCTATCTCCGTCTTCAGGTTCCTACACAGTTGGGAGCACTAGATAGAGCTAATCCCTATCTCCGGAGATAGAGTCCCATCTCCGAAACGTCGTTTTACGTTTTATATTTACTAGACGATGGATAATATCCAAGAAAATTTTTATTCAATTGACTCTTCACCATCGTCAAGAAGTTTTAGATTTAATGATAAAATCATTCTGCTTGAGATATACAGGACATGTAGAATGCATGGGAAAGATGGGATATTTGTATGTGGCTCAGGGCATAGGCCTGTAATATCGACTGATTATTAATGAATTGGAAAGGATGTGAAAGGTAAACGGCCGTGGCCTAATTTTAGGTACTAACCCGATAGATTCCTGGAGGGACTGAGGCGTTTACGAAAACCGAAACCTCCCGAAAACGAAGCAGGGATGGTAAAGACTCAGTTGCGACGTTCGGCAACAGAAACGTATTAAACCGAATCTTAAAGTAATAAGACATGACAGTGTGGATTGGATTCATCTGGCCCATGATAGGGTGCAGTCACAGGTCCTTCAGAATAAGATAATGAACCTTCAGTTTCATGATAGGCGCTAGCTGAGCGACTATTAACATCTCAAGAAGGACTGTACCCTATGGAGTTAAAAACAAGAAGCCGAGGCTACAAGTGGATTATATACTGCTCGTGACGTAATGTCACGTCACGTGAATGGGATTTACCTTCGGTACACGTCGTTCGCCGATTTAGTCTATAAACTGCAATTAATCACAAGGCAGCAACAGCTAACACACACACACACACACACAGGGCTATATTGGTTAAATCTAAATGTGTATAAACACGAAAAACGCCATATGAGATACGAAATTTACAAAGGAATATACATAAATGCCTTTCGTATGTAATTTCTGTACCTCTATTACTGAAACACGATATAATCTGTAACACGTATGTCTTCGTCTGAAGTATTCTACTAATGGTGTTTTATAACATGTGAAATCATTCGTTTCGATTTTTATCCACAGTACAAATAACAAAATAAATACAAAGTTTCAGAAGGTGGATTTTCCTTCAGCCTTCCAGGTCCAGGTCTAAGGTTGGCTCAACCAGGGGCCCCAAAAGACAGACTCTCTGTTATATTTTCTTATTTTCTACCTGAAGACGGAAGCAGAATTTAGCTTCCGAAACTTTGTCGTATTATAATTTTATAACTTCCACGACGGATGCAACAAAAACAAACAAAATCCGGTGTATGCTCAGAAGAGAAGTAAATGCAGCATTTGACCTCTCAACCTCTCAACTTCTTCTGCAGGTCTCGAGAGTCTGGATTCGCTTATCCTAGGCCACAATCACCTAAAGGAGATCCCCGCCAGAGTGTTTTCACATCTCACCCTTCTGAACTCCCTGGAACTAGATGGAAATCAGATCGCACACATTGATCCTGAAGCATTTGTTGGTCTTGAAGGTTTGTACAATCAACTTTACCTAAAGTCAGCGATGTTTGACAAAGTCAGACCAAAGTACTAGGAGAGTAAATGTCTACAGTTGCTTTCTCTACCTGGGGTCGAATACGGTCCTCCGCGAAGTTTGCTACTATGTGGCCGAACTATGGTTCAATGTATACGCTTATAATTAGATGCTAATCAAAGCCTGGGGTTTCATTAACCTTATAAGTGAAAACAAAATACGAAAGAGATTAAAACAATAGGACCAGCGTAAAACAAGAATTTTATAAGAAGCACATAACAAGAAATTTATTTATGATAAGAGTTTATTATTAGGGAGTCAGTCTCTCGAAACGATGGACTTTGCTACCACAAGTCCCTGGTGATGGAGTCTCTCCACCTCAACCCAACGCCTCACTAACATAGCCATAACATTGTGTATTTTTTCCAGAGAACCTTCAGTATCTCAGGCTGGGCGATAACAACATCCACTCCATACCCAGCAATGCCCTGAGACGCCTTCACCGATTACGTCATCTGGACCTTCGATCCAACAACATCAGTTCCATCCCTGAGGATGCGTTCACTGGGTTCGGAGATACAATCACATTCCTTAATCTACAGAAAAACGAGTAAGTACTAACATTTCAATTTCTCGTGGTTAGCAATCCGAGAATCCTGTTACAAGCTGTTTAAGATCTGAAGCCTCCACGGCGACTAAGTATAAAGAACGGTAGCCCGAGAAGAATTCCTTATACTCTTTGGTTGTACAAAGGTGTTCCTATGAGAAACTAACAAGCCATGAAGGCGTATAGGTTGAGCTAACATCGGTAATAAAGAAACTACCAAGCCATGAAGGCGTATAGGAAAGGTATAGGTTGAGCTAACATCGGTAATAATAGGTTTGAGTGACTAGCTTCACGCTCAGGCCGTATTACACCGGTAACACAGCACATATTTTTTCAAAAATGTTCTTTGAAATTTCGTATATTTCTGTGTACTTGTGCGTTCGCTGCTAAATATACCAACTAATCAAAAGGTAATAAACAGTATCTACATGACAATGAAAATTCTTATATAGGAGATGATTTTACATTTCGTTAAATGCAGCTTACACCCAAAAATGCCTTGACAATTTATTAAAAATACTAATAAAGAGGAGGTTAACGCATTACTCGATAATTTTCTTTAACGAAATCAATCATTCTTGAGACATTTGGCACCACTTAGAAAAATGTTGCGAATGCTACAAAGAAAAATACAGCGTAAACAACGTTTAGAAGCAAATCCCATAATGAATGCCCTTTATTTCAATCCAAGAGTTTTTATGCTCGAACAAAATATTATAACAAAACTTGTTTTTTCTGATGAAATAAAAGAGATCAAAAGTCTGTCTTTTAGCAAAATATGATTTCCGTCATTTCTAAACGTCATTAACGTGCAGAAAACGTCACAGAGACAGCGACTAACTTGGTTTGCAGGGCTAAGCCCGCGGCGGACCAAAGCAGTTACGAAATTACGACGTTCAAAAACATGCTTGACTGTTCCATAAGCAAAATATGACCTGGTACACTTTGGTAGTATCAATTACATATAAAACACAGTTAAAAGGAAACCAATGTGTGTATAAAACGCAGCCGAGAAAAGAACTAACATCTACAGGAAAAACTTATGCCTGTCCCGAATGTAATCACACCAGTGCCGATTGAATTTCTCCATAACACGTGTTGTAGTCGATGGCTGCCAAGAACGTGCACAGTTAATAACATTCGTCAGCCCTCTTTCGAATCTCCCCACCTATTCCTACATTTTCTGGCATACAGTTAGCGCCATATTGATCTGTCAATCTTCCACAAGTTTCACTTGTTTGATTTATTTATTTATTTTATTTAGTGTTCTGTCTGACGACAGGTCCATATGAACAGGATCCTTCCATCCTTTTCTCGGACTGGGACCTGTTCATATACGTTCTTGGCAGATGATCCAGAAGTGGGTTGCCATTGCCTTCTTCTG